CATTCGTATTAATGCGAAAGCATTAACTGTCCCATGGAGGAAGCCGAAATTATCAGCTTTGAAGCCGTAAATTCCCCTCTCCCAAGTGAAGCCACAATCTGAAGTCCTCTAGCTTTGAAGCCGCGCAAAAAGCTACACAAAACGGCAGCGAAATGAAGCCAAAATCTCAGAGATGGGGCCGTTGCGCATCAATTTCAACAAGCGCCACCCCACAGCGCTGCGCTGCCAGCATGCCTGTAAGCGAACAGATTCCTTTTACAGGCATGCTGGCAGCGCAGCCGATGTCAGCACGACGCAGCCACTTCACGAGGGCGCGCGCAAGAACGACATTCATGCTTGCACATTCGCAACTCATAAGTGCTTAGGTGTACCTCGAGACTTTTTGTTTGCAAGGATGTGGAGAGGAGAGCCATTCACATTTCATAGAGAAATTTTCTCAAGAACACCTTTTATAGCAATTTTTGTAATTGTATGCTGCTCCTTTGTGGATACCCGTATTGAAACCTTTGTATAGGTTGTTTTCATAAACTTCCTAAACAAGAATATGATGAAAAATTAGCGCACAAAAAGACAAGGACAGGAACGGAACACATGAGACAAACAAGCAGTGTTCCGTTCCTTTCCTTGTCGTAGTCTTTTTGTGCGCTATTTTTTTCATCATGTTCAACCAGTGCCAACTTGCCCAGCTTTACCACCTTCCTAAAAAAAATAATAGGTTCTCAATATTTTATGTAAACTTAGTGTGCTTCAAACCTCGTGTAATGTATGTTTCCTGAAGCCTCAGTTACGTACGGCCCTGGCTAAATTGGTCACCTACTGTGTGAACCAGTATCTCCAAACCTCGCAGTGTACAAACACTTGAAGGCTACTTTTTTGTCTGACATTGAGGTTATTCCCTTTTTGCAGTTCCACCTGACAAGGGGGCATTATATTTCGATGGAGAGCGCTAAAAAAATTGACAAAAATAAGAAGCCCACCATTGTCATAAAGGATGCCGCACAAGGTATTTGGGGCAAGAAGGTGCTTCAGCAAAGGACACTCAGCGGGGCCGTGGGCCCCACTAAGCGGCACCTGGGGGACCTGGCTCGAAAGCAGCTGACCCCGGAGAAAATCTCGGTAGTGGCAGGTAATTAAGCTTCATCTGTTTTCTATGAATCAGTCGTAACTAGTGAAGTTTGTTTCAACTTAATATTGCAGACACCTTGAGGTACTGGGGTGAAAAGAAGAAGATTGACGTCACGGAGGCCCTAAAGAACATGAACGCGATCCTGAGCGAAAAAATTCAAGATGCGCGAAGGAAAGACTGCCCCTAGGACCAGGAGGTGGCTCAGCATAGTTGTCATGAGAGCTGATGGTTGCAATAAATATGAAAAGTAACAATGGCTTTGATTGACTCTATCTACATGCACAAAGTATTGATCTGGGAACTCTAAAGGTCCAAACTATGTGCATACAACTTGGCCAAGCTGGCAGGGCGCATATTGTTAGAGCGTATGAATGTGTAGGCATTGCAGTTTGAAATTGGGGGGGGGGGGGGGAGGGGGGGGGACAATTGTGTACGCGCAGGCAAAGCAGCCCTCGCAACGGCGCTCACGCCGGTTTGGCTGGCTCGTGAGGTAGACGCTGCCGCCATACACATAAGCAGCGGTTACAACAATATTCTGAGGCATCAGTGGCAGTGCCAATCGAGCAAGCAGTCTAAAAAATAGAGTATGTCAATCATTTGTTCCTTGCTGGAGCAAGCTTCCAAAGCCTTCATTTGGCACCGCGAAACTGCTTGGAGTTAGTTGGGAACAAATTCTACAGTGCAAAGAGAACCCGCGCCTTCCTCTGACGTCACTTTTTCTTTTTTGCTAGTAGAGACTTTTAGTTAGAAAAACATGGTGAGGACCAAAATTAGAAATTCAATAAATTTTCAAGAAAAAGATATTTTGACGTAATTTCGGGTACTATTATAGTGATGTTTGTTGGTGAGTGCAGCAAAATTTCAAGAAAATCGGGGACCATGAAGAAATCGCCGGAGTGCTCCCGGGTGATTCACGTGCTGTCCGAACCCGAAATTTAAGTTCCCGCTCATTGCCGAGCAGCCTATACGGCGTCAGCATCTTGCTAGGGATTTATCGCCTGCGCCATAAAAAATATGCCGGCGGGGCAACCTACGCCCTAAACGAGACGCATCGCTTTGCTTCACGGTCCGTGTGGAAAATCTAACCAGCAGAGTTCTTATTTCTTGTAGTTTGATAGTAGTAGTCTTAGACATATAGCTTAAGCCTCTAAACATGTAAAATGCCCTAATTTTCCTCAATTCAGTACAACAAAATTGATTAAATGGCATCAAGCGATTCAATGAAACGGGCATTGAATGAAGTGTCCAGTTCCTACAAGTTGCACGTGCCCGCTTGTATTGCCTGCCCCGGGTGCCAGCCGCAGCGTTTGCGGGTCCTAGCATGTTCACTATTCAGTCTCTGGCTGCGTCTCGTGAGTGACAACGAGCTCTTTTTTCAAAACGTGATGCAAACAAATTTTATGCATTTCGGGTCAAGTACAGACTTGTTGCATCTTGCTGAAAGTTGAGGGCGACTGTTCCGCGAGATGTGAGCATATTTTTTAAAAATTTGTTTAACAAATTTCTTCACCTGGAAATTAAAAACATCTGGCAGTACTTGCAGTGGTCACTGCCGGGCTCTCCAATTTGCAGAAACTGACTGAAGTAGGTTCTACTCTTCCCTTAGAATGCATATTGATTCCACACTTATTTTTTATAGCTACCACGTCGTGCACTTAGATGAAGCAAGCACATACGTTGTCGCTGACTGGTGGCTGGTGAAGGACAAGAAGGGAAAAGTGATCTCCTCCTACTCCCCACCTTCCAAGAACAAGCAGCAGGTCCGGAATGCAATTTTAGATAAAAAAAAAATACAAAGGCTTGGTCAAATCACCCTGTGAGGATTCTTCAGTCCTACAGTAAGTTGGCAATTTTTTTTTCGGTGTATACTTGAGATTATTTTTTCTCTTGCAGCCAATCTGCAGCACGCCTTTGACAATGTGGATCCAGCTGCCTATACATCCCATTTGGACTCGGATGAACCGGTTCCGGTAACCCCAAGACGGGAAAGGGCAAGGGTGCCTGCTAGCCCTGTAAACAGTGACTCGGATGATGCATCGAGAGGAGGGGCTTGTCGCGGTATAAGACTCTGCATTATAAATTTGTATTCAATGTGAATAAGAACTTGCATGAATAACTTCAGCTTTTTAAGCAATTGTAAAATTGCTAATAGTTATAGTCGGTGACAGATCAGAAACAAAAAGCAAGGAGAACGAAGGCTGGAAAGTAGTAAGCAGACTGCCCCTTCATTTTTCTAGCTCTGATCTTGATTTATCACTGAGTATAGGCTAGTCTGGTTAGTGCAAGCTGAGTGTAAAATTAAATACTTAAGACTGAAAGAATAAAAGCATGAAAGATGTATACAGACAGCCAAGAGCTTTCAGTTAGCAACAACATTTAATTCTGAGTGGAAACATTTGTGCAGTACCCGAAGTAACCAACAGCGGTTGAGCCTTGAGCGAGATTCCCCCCGGAGCAACATGGAACTGTCCAAATCGTGCGTGGTGCCCCTCTCAGCCACTGCATCGGCTGTACGCTCTGATTGGGTCTTTCATATTGCTAGAGATTGTACCACATCAGTTAGGATTGCTTGTCCCTTAAACCTTGCAAGCCAGTCTAAGTACACTAGCTCGCCAACCAAGCTTCCAGACATGAATGTCCCCAGCACAGGCTAGCATGCACTCAGGGAAGCTCTCTCAGCCAAAAGCGGAACAGGTGTTGACCTCGGGGTCCTTTAAAGATGCCAGTAGTCTACAATGCCATTTGATGGTCTTTGATTTCTGACTTTGTTGGACTCATCTTTCATACTTTTAAATATTATATGCATAATATATTTTCACTTACATGGTGCAATTGATTAAAAAACAAATTTAAAAAACTTTTTCAGACAAACAATCCATCTGACTTGCACGGTAGTTTTGTTTTATAGTGCTTCCTTCCACACAACTTTATGGCCCAACTGAAAAACACCACTTCCGCTACTTGCAACGAGTCTGCAGTGTCACACGGCTGCATGCTCTGGCCCAAAGAGTGCTGCGGGTATACACTTCAGCTTTTTGTTCACCATTCTAAATAGCCCGGGAAATGGCACTCTGAAGCAAGAAATAAAAAAATGCCTCAGTTGTTGACCATATTGCTGATGCAAGAAAATTTGGGAACATGGTACTTAGATATGCTCTAGCTTTTGGTTAAAGGCCAACCAACAAGCAGAAAAGAAGGAAACTCTTCCTCAATTCCTCCGTTCCATTTGAGAAAGAGGGAGACTCTCCTCCTCTACCGGGAGTAGTTCAGACATCCGCACCTGTGTGGAGAGGAGGGGAAAAGTGGGCGAGTGGGAATGGAGAGAAGGAAACTGGGAACCGGTTTTTTCCCTGGTAGAAGACTATTTTGTAGGTCGGACTTTATGCATGGTGGCATATTTTTGTCATCAAAATTTTGCGTTCTTGGGTGTGATATTACAAAAGCAGTCTTCTTGAATTGAGTGTCAGCCCTCTATTCCTTTTAATAGATTGCCAGACAACTGTCAAAAATGGGGGTATAAGTTCAGGAGTCTTGGTTGCAGGGAGCCAGGGAGCCATTGCAAAGGCACGCATAGAAAGCCCTACTTAAATACGTCTAGATTTTTTAGCATTGTTTTGTGTATCTGCAAAACAGTTTCACTGTTCATGATTCAGTCTAAGCATCTCACTAATTTTTTTGTTTCAATGTCTTTTACTTCAGGTCCAGTCCTGCCAGTTTATCCTGTATCAGGTTAGTTCGGGCTCATTATGAAATATCTCAAACTAATGTAGCTGGTCATACTTTCAGAACACATTCACTTTTGTTCTTGGTTTTATCTCCTGTGCACTCCTGCTTACTTGAGGCACTCTTTTTTTTTTTCCAGCTCCTTTTAGGGCTGAAGAGAGCCATATTTACCACAACATGGATGCTGGGAACTTCTCCGAGAGGAGTGAGTACATTTACAATGTCTTGGTTTGTTAAACAGCACAAAAACAGAGGACGGGGATTGGCTGAAGTGTGATGTCGTCGCTTACTTTCAATAATTTCTCCAACTGTATGCACCACCAAAATAATTGTGTAATTTCACGGCGTCCACACATGGCAGTTGCTGCGGAATGTCGCCCATGGTATTCAGCAGAGACTCGGCAGCAATTTCAGCAGGGTCACAGAGTCATATCTTTTAATTTATGCATATTTGATCAACTTTTTATCAGTCTATACTTTGTCAACATTCATTACACAACCTTCACTGTTGCAACGCTTCATTGACACCGTGACAGCAAGCTATGATTCCAAGCAGGCCGCACTTTGCAGTCGCCCCCCTCGCTTTGCAAGGGGAAAAGTAATCTTTTTTGGGCTCGATCTTGGAGCGAGCCTCTTTAGAAAGTTATGCCATCAATCAAGAAGGCAGAAATGGGGCACTGGTGGCCGACCATCTGCAACTCCACTGGATGAGTCTAGCGACATTCATGTTGCCAAAAATGTTCAACGTTGTCATGGGTAGGAAGGTTTCTATGAAATGTAAGATGTTTCTGTAAGAAACACGCCTTCGTCGACGAAGCATTTTGTTGGTAAAACAGTTTTCGATGAACTGATTGCTACCAGGGGGGTCTAGACAACACCTTGTAAAATATCGAGGCCTGCATGCTTCAATTTTGTTGTTGCATAGGTAGGCCAGTTGAGTGCACAAATTGAACATGAGTACTGCATCTGCGTTCGACAGGGTTCGTGGTAGAGATGTCACTAACCTCTTAATGTTTGAGTTCAAAAGGGTTGTGAAGTGTGCAACTTTCAAACTTTGCCAATGTTCGAATTTACTAAGTTTGAAGCTTTCGAGGTTTATAAAAGTTATCTCAACAGTTTCTTATTTTTTTTCGCAGTTTGTTTTAAAAACATTCGAGAATTTGAAATTGTTTTGGTTTGAATCAGTCAAAGATATAGAATTTTGTTCGAAGTATAAGTTTGTGAAGTTAGAAGTCTTCAAATCGCACAAGGGTCGTAGTTTCGTAGTTTCAAGTAATTTTTGTTAATTTTCTGATGTGTGAGCTCTGTTTAGCAGAGTTCAAACAAAGCTAACAAAGAACAAAGAGATGTCGGGCTCAGCCGTTGTCACCACCAGATAGCTCGCTGCGCTTGCTGGGCAGGTCGGCGATCGGCCACATAGCTTGCCTCTTGGAGCTTCGAAACAGTCTTCTGCAACAGCGATTGTTATCTGCACAGTTTGAGTGTGGTCGCGTGTTATTTGCAGCAGTTGCTATGTGTTCCAAACAGTTAGATACTGATTGAATCCTGTTTTGTATCTTAGTTTGACGAATCCGTGGAAAAACTACTAAAGTTGTCGAATTTTTCAATATGACGGGTTGGGAAATTGTTATATGTTTCAGTGTCATAAGTTGGAAAGGTTGAATATATTTTAATTCTTGAAGCTTTAGATTCAGAAAATGTTTGCTTCATCTCTAGTTGTTGGTGTGATCAGTGAGAACATAAGCCCCAGCCCAGTGCTGATGCAGCACTCGTGGTCTATGTGCTTTGTGCTGGTCTATTTGTCGACAAATTTGAAGCAGGTCAAAATGTCAAACGCTTTAGGTGGGGGAAATGAGAGTGGAGGTGCCTGCAAAACTAGATTTTCTGAGGGGCTTTAGACCTGGCAACGGCTTAATAACCAGTTTTCTGCATCTAATACACGTGCCACACGGGCAACTCAAATGCTATTTACAACGAATGACATTTGAGCGGACGGCCAATCAGCGCACGACAGTCCGGGCGTGGCGCATTCCACGCAAGACAGATTCCGAGCTAATTCGCCGATCACACAAAGGTCATTCGTTGTAAATTGCATTCGAGTTGCCCGTGTGGCACGGGTATTATTCCCACAAGTGAGGAGCTAAGCCTAATTGGTGTGTGGTAGAGTAGGACCAGATTGATACATTCCCGGGTATGTTTTCCCCTATCATACATTTCTTTTACCGCAGTCCCATGAAAAATATATTACCGGTGTTCTGCTGTACTCTGACCTATAGACAGTCGCAAGCAGGGCAACTGGCCACCACCATTTTTTTGCTTGTGCCAGCAAGCACATGCAATTGCAAACCTGCCAAAGCCACTTTCATGTGCATGCTGCTCATGCTGGTGCCATCTGCACGTCCATGGGGCACCGGTGTGTGATGCCATGCCATCATGTTCTTGTGTACATGCTTTTTGGTAGAGGGAAATGACATTATTTTCAAATGCTTTCTAGCACACCATGATTCCGGGATATTTTGCACTTGTCCTTGGCTTATAATGGAGAGCTACCAAATTTTACCCACATGATGAGAGAACTTTTTTAATCGTTTTAAAGCTACCAAAGGCATGTGAACAACATCCCTCCCTTCTGCCAAATAAGTTTGCATGTGTAAAAATGGTGGCAAGTCTGTGGGCCCCACTTTAGAAATGCAATTGCTTGATAACTAGTTTTTTTACATCTTGGCAACTAAGTTGAGAAATCAAAATAGCATTTCTTTGTGTTCTGGAATGTGCTACACTGACGCGCAACTCCTGGTAATCACTTGCAGCAGCTTGGAACAACCCAGAACAACTAGGAACAGAGTTTTCATTTCAGAATGGCCTCATGCCTCCCCAAGGATTGGGTAAGTGATAAAATTAGATTAAAATGGTCTTGTCTAATTTTAGTTTATTTCTAGCCCGCCCACTTCATGATCCGGCCCAACTCATAGACATGATGAGGGTGCAGCAGGAGATGTTGAGGTCTGTACAGGAGATGTTGACATCCCAGGAAAAGAGCCATGTTGGTGAGAAATTATTTAGATCATCTTCAACCTCGTTGTGACCAAATGCAACCATTATCTTGCACCCTTTGATATGTAGTTGTCTAGCTTATTGAAAGACATTGCTTTATGCTCCTGAACAATTTCTAGAGCCCAGTCACCAACTGTGCTTCAGGCTGCAACACATAAATGTAAAACATGAACTAGAGATGTTGCATAACTCACTAGTATCAAATCGAAAGGTATAGAAATTTCCCAACTGTCCCAAGGTTCGCTTTACAAAGTTTTCAAATTTAACTCTTCCAAGATTAGAATTTGATATTAATGCTTTCGGCTTTTGAGTTCGACGGTTTGAGACTTTCTCGAGGTTGATGCTCGAAAAAGTAAAGAAATTCAAATTCCTTTGTTTGTGAAGTATGAAGTCTTTGAGCTTGACGAAGGACCAGGTAGCCCAGTTTGTTATAAGTTTTCATGAATTCGTCTTATCGTATACAATAGTAGTTTCGCTCATTTTGAAGCTGAGACATGACCTATGTTAGCAGAGTTCAAACATAGGGTGTAGTATACACTAGCTGGGGGTCAAGGCAAAGCTGGCAGAGCCATTGCTGCCTTCAACTTGATAGCTAGATGTGGCAAATTGTTTCAGCAATATTGCTTTCAATATAGCAGATACCGGAACAGGAACTATGGCTGCGAAAGGCAGCATACCTTCGTGATATCGGAGACATGGCAAACCATGACTTATGATTGGTCGTCTGATCCTCAGGAGGATCACGTGAAGTTGCACATTTTTAGTGCCGATCGAAGCTGTGCTTGTGTACTCTTCTATTGCATGTGGACACTGTTGAGCGAAGTTCACGACATCATTTGTAGACCTCTCTCCAAGAAGTAAAATACCCAAAACGCGGCAATGCTTGTGAGGTCGTGGCTCAATGGAGGCTGCTCAAACACCTTAGTATTTGCTGCGGTATTGATTGCACCTCATGTCGCCCGCTAGAGGTGGCGGATGTTAGCAATTTTGCTCCTTTCAAAGTTTGCTGGTCCTTTTAAATACATATATAGATGTAATTAAATCATAATATTTGGTGTCTGGTCTTCCTAGATGATACTGAACGCAAAACAAATTTTGCGTTTGGTGTGTAACCGAAATTTGCATATATTTGGCTAGAGTGAAAAAGGTGGGACAGCACAGCATAGTTTCTCTTTGCCAAGAAGTGGCACAATGGGGGGATTGGCCACCATACAGTTTCTTAAGTCAATTTATAAAAATAACGATGATTGTGACCGTTTGTGGTGATTGCCAAAGATCATCGTCTTCTTTGTCAGCAGAGCACGAGCTCGGACACGGGAGCTCGTGCATTCCGTTCTTCGGCGAGTTGGAATCTTGGCAGCTAGTCATGTCCCTCTGACCTGCTGTATTGGAATAAACCCTCAGTACACCCCTTGACTCGGGTCTACTACACTGGCGACGAGGTGAAGACCACACCGGACTTAACGGGAGCACGGCAGAGCAGCAGCGAGCATGGTGGAGAACCAGACCCACCGCTTCCACGGTCCCGGGACATTCGACGCCGAAAAGGAGAACTGGAAGCTTTATCAGATAAGGTTTCAAGCTTGTCTCGACGTCGCTAAGATCACTGCCGAGGCGGACAAGAGAAACTTATTGATCGCTTCAATTGGTCCCGAGACATTCAAGCTGCTCTACTCCCTAATTCAGCCACAGAGCTTTCTGGAGACACCCTATCAAGAGTTGCTCAAAAAGCTCGAAGAACATTTCGCACCTAAGAAATTCAAGGAATTCGAACGGGCGAAGTTGTTTTCGGCTCGCCAGGAAGAAAATGAGACAATCAAAGACTTCATAACGCGGCTTAGATCAATCCTCATTAACTGCGACTATGAATCTGAAGCCGACGCCAGAAGTTCGTCCCTTTTGACGACATTCATCGTGGGTCTCCGGGACACGCGCGTCCGGGCACGTCTGGTGCTCGAGAAGGACCTCACTCTGGACGTCGCACTTCGCTTGGCCGAGTCAACCCTCACCGCCGAAGCAGAGTCCCGGCGCCTAGACCGGGGAGACCACGCTGCGCTGTTCGTTGAAAAAGTGAAGCCGTCCACTTCTGCGCCAGTCAAGTGTTTTCGATGCGGCAACACCAACCATTCGGAGAGTTCCTGCCGCTTCCGAACTGAGTCGTGCAATGCATGCGGCAAACGAGGCCACATTGCAAAAGTATGTCGATCAGCGGAGCGTCACAAGACAGCTGGCAAGAAAAAGGAAAAGGTGAAAACAATCACCAACGTATTCGTCACTCCAGGATCAGATGGCGAATTTGTCTCTTGCATTATTCAAGGAACACCCGTAAGGTTGCAGGTCGACACAGGATCTAAGCTGACACTCCTAGACACTGACACGTGGCGGAAGATAGGGAAGCCCACCTTGCAAAAATGCGACTACAACCTCTTCTGCTTCAACCAGAAGAAAATCACGGTCCAGGGACGGTGCTTGCTTCAGATCACGCTTGGAAAACGCTCCGAAGAGCTAGAAGCATTGGTGACTGACAAACGACACACCAACCTGCTTGGAAGAACGTGGATACACAGGCTGCAGATTGACCTCAACAAATTGTTTATTCGATCTGTGGAACTGGAAGTAGAAGCCTCACTTCAGACAATGTTGGCAACATTTCCGACCTTGTTCTCCGGCGACTTGGGCTGTTGCACTAAACTCAAGGTCCAACTTCAGTTCAAGCCTGACGCGAAACCAAAGTTCTTCTAGCCCCGCCCAATACCGTTTGCTACGCGAGAAGCAGTAGAGAAAGACTTGGCCAAGCAAGTCAAGAACAACGTTCTCACACCCGTGGACTTCTCGCAGTGGGCCACTCCAATTGTGGTCGTCCCAAAGTCGGATGGATCGGTTCGAGTCTGTGGTGACTTCAGTGTCACGGTAAATCCTCAGCTCGACATAACCCAGTACCCACTGCCACGTCCAGAAGAACTTTTCGCTAAACTAAATGGAGGCAACAAATTCACGAAGCTGGACTTGTCAGAAGCGTATCTCCAGCTGGAACTCGATGAAGAGGCAAGAACGGCTCTCGTGATCAACACGCACAAAGGTCTGTTCCGATTCAACCGGATGCCTTTTGGAGTCGCCTCCGCCCCAGCAGTGTTCCAGCGCAAGATGAACCAGGTAACTGCAGGGCTCGAAGGCGTTGCCTGTTACCTCGATGATATCATTGTCACTGGAAGAGATACTCCTGAACACCTTAAAAATCTTCAACAAGTGCTCCAGCGGCTAGAGGAATACGGCTTCACGCTCAAGAGGGAAAAATGCGCCTTTCTTCAAGAAAAGGTCGAGTACCTCGGGCAAGTCGTTTCCGCCGATGGCTTCACGCCTTCCATGAAAAAGGTCTCGGCTATCCTGAATATGCCAGAGCCCAAGAACATCAGCCAGCTAAGATCTCTCCTCGGCATGGTGCAGCATTACGGCAAGTTCCTTCCGAACCTTGCTGACAAATGTGCGCCACTTAACAAGCTACTGAGAAAAGACACCGCCTGGCAATGGAGCTCCGAATGCGTAGATGCGTTTGAAAACATCAAACGACAGCTGACGGCTACGGCGGCCCTAGTCCACTTCAACCCTGATCTGCCAATTTACCTCGCGGCGGATGCATCGTCAGAAGGCGTGGGTGCGGTGATATATCACAAGATCAATGGCAAGGAACGCCCCATAGCACATGCTTCTAAGACACTGAATTCGTCAGAGTGTGCTTATGCACAAATAGAAAAGGAAGCACTTGCCATCATCTTTGGAGTCCGCAAATTTCACCAGTACCTTTGGGGACACAAGTTTGTGCTCTATAATGACCACAAACCTCTGACAACCATATTTGGCCCCATGAAGGGAATCCCCGTGACATCGGCAAACAGACTCCAGCGTTGGGCCCTTATACTAATGAACTACAGCTACACAATTGAGTACGTGCCAACAGCAAACTTCGGAAACGCTGACGGACTTTCGCGTTTCGCACAAGGTCCCGACGAGGACTTCGACAAGGAAATGGCAAGCGGAGTTTTCACCATCTCCTGTGATACAGAACATGTCTTTGCGCTTCACACCCAGAGTTTGTCTAAGTTACCAGTGAAGGCAAAGGACATTGCCACGGAAACTGCGTCAGATTCTGTCCTCTCCCAAGTACAACGGTACATCAGTCAGGACTGGCCAGAAAAGGTGACGGACTCCGACCTCACGCCATTCCATAGACAGAGATCGGAATTAGCCATCCTCAACGGTTGCATCCTATGGAATTCGCGAACCGTAGTTCCAAGCAAATTCCAGCACCAAGTAATGGAACTTCTTCATGAAGGACACGTGGGTCAAACAAAAATGAAGATGTTGGCACGGTCGTACGTGTGGTGGCCACACATCGACAGAGACCTTGAGCGCACGACGCAGCAATGTGAGGTCTGCAGCACTGTTTGCGACAACAAACCACAGGTTCCTCTTCACCGCTGGGAAGCTCCGGAACTGCCGTGGCAGAGACTTCATGCTGACTTTGCACAGCTAGATCAGCAAAGCTATCTCATCGTCATAGATGCGTTCAGCAAATGGCCTGAGGTTATGCCGATGAAATCCATAACAGCGGCAGATACCATCGACGCTTTGCAGGAGATTTTCTCTCGTCAAGGCCTGCCACAACAACTTGTCACCGATAATGGGCGACAGTTCATCAGCTCGGAATTTAAAGAATTCATGGACAGCGGCGGAATTACTCATCTCTTTACCCCACCGTATCACCCCAAGTCCAACGGACAAGCAGAGAGTTTTGTAAAGACATTGAAGACTGCTCTTCGACGTTCCTCTGGAAAAGAGAGGAAGGCAGCCATCCGAGACTTTTTGCTCAAGTACCGAATCACCCCCCACACCTCAACGGGAGAACCCCCGTGTCAACTGCTCACGAGCAGGCCCTACCGGACGGTTCTCGACTTACTGAAGCCTTCCAAGGTACGGACCCATGCCAAAACGGCAAAGAAAGACAAGGGAACCGCTACCTTCACAATCAAGCAGAAAGTGTGGGTAAAACATCCTCTCCACAAACAACACTGGATAAAGGGCGTTGTCACAAAAATAATTGGCAACGTCATCTACGAAGTTTCAGATGAAGATCACAAAACCCGTCGGGTCCATGCAGATCACCTGAAACCAAGGTTGACATATGACGATCCCGACACTTCAATATTCCCAATGGATGTAGCCAGGGCCTTCTCAGGTTTACACCCAGCAGGAGGCCACCGACACACAAGTTACTTCGGGGTCTCCATTGCAGCCAGACTCCAGTAGGAGATACCCGACACGCAGCCGCCTCAAGACGGACCGTTACAAGCCTTCTTAAGAGGGAAGGAAATGTGGTGATTGCAAAAGATCATCGTCTTCTTTGTCAGCAGAGCACGAGCTCGGACACGGGAGCTCGTGCATTCCGTTCTTCGGCGAGTTGGAATCTTGGCAGCTAGCCATGTCCCTCTGACCTGCTGTATTGGAATAAACCCTCAGTACACCCCTTGACTCGGGTCTACTACACCGTTTAACTAAGGCCTTCTGTTGGATAAAGAGAAAAACGGTGTTCAGTGAGATGGCCTAGTCATAAAGAATGCCAACGGCACCGAAAACTGCATGATTAGGTACACTCGTCTTAAACCAGAAAATGGCAGATAACTTGTGACTTACAGGACATTACAATTTTTTTGTAATGTCCTGACATGCCATTTCAACGCCCAGCATAAAAAAAAACTATTTTTTTTGGCGTGTCAGAGGTCTTTTAAGGAAAGTCTGCTTTGATATACTTTTAGTGTCTTGTAAGGGACAGTTTTGTTGAGGACATCATACGGTCTTTTGGCAGATTCTACATTACTGTGTTCTTGGTAGAAAATTTACTCATATTCCCTTGGATGCCTACTGAACCAAAGTATTAATAGACTTGCCAAACTGCGTTTTCTGCAGCTTTCCGGGATTGCGTCTTGCACAATCAAGCGGACCTGCTGGCGCAGGTGAACAGTTTAAGGCAACAGCTGGGCAACAAGAGCCTCGGGAAAGTGGTTTATTTGCCCGAAGACTGCCCTTCCCTGCCCGTCAACAGCCTGGATGACCTGAGGGCCTTGAACGTGTACCTTGAAGCAAGAGACAAGCTTCAGCACATGGTATTGTTGTTCAATAATTTTTACACATCCGGGATTTTCTGTGCGTGTTTTCAAGAGAGAACGATGCACTGGTTAGTCATAAAGCAGGGCTTTGAGTAAACTTTTGGCCCAGTTTATTATGTTTATAAATTTAAAGGTATTGAGCACAGTAGGCACTCCAGCAATTCTACATTTCTGCATGAAATGATTGTGATGTTTCTTGCTTTTTTAACATGTTTTTTAAGTTAACTTCACAAGCTCCATCACTCAAACTTGTTTGATTTCTTACATTTCAACGGTCACCGGCAATCAAACTTTATCTCCCATGAACTTTATTTTGTAAGGTTCAGAGCAGTTCACTCTGCGTTTACTCCTGCCATTATTTTTGAAGCGTATCATGGGACAGTGCATCACGGCTCACTTTTACCATCGTGGTTTCACTGTTGGTCACATGTTATGAGGCGCTGCTGTTTACCTAAATTGATCACACTTTACTGCGATGGTGGTGTTGAACTCCTGTCTACGGGGTGGTGTCTGACTTGTCTACGGAGCGTTAAAAGTGAGGTACTTTCTGCATGAGAACACTGGGGAAGGGGTTCTGAAAAATGGGAGCAGCGAATACCACGGAACGGGATATGTGTAGTCTTCAGAATGCTCAACACAATTATCTCTGAATGTGTCGATGACAATGCGGCTGTCACCATCTTTTTCGTATCTCTCTTGCTTGCATTTATTTCAAGCAATGTTGGTTTTGTTTTCATAGTTCATTTTAAACGGGGAGAAAAGCGGTCATGCATTACAATCTCAGCTCCCTGTCAAGGTATGAAATGTGCGCCAGGTTAAAGAAATGTTTATTGTAGTTCATGTCTCTTTTTGTGTTTGCCATCTCAAGCTATCCTTTTTTTTTATGCTTCACCCTGGAAAAAAACTTGTTTATTAGAATTAGAGGTCATGATTCTTTCACTTAGTAAATACAAAAATATTATGGAGATTTTTTATTCAAAAATCAGTCATATTAGCCACTGTTATAGATAGGGTTCTGTGTTTTCTGTGTTTTTTTTCCTCGAAATTGGGGGTATATTTTTGCTGCGTTTAATTCTTAGCTACAGTTTCAGTGTTTTTTGTGGAAATTGTGTAACCAATTTACACAAAAAACACTGAACCTGTAGGAAAAAATATTAACTTGTAAAAAAAATACACCCAAATTAAAAAAAAAAATCATCGAAAACGCTGAACCCTAGTTGTAGAAGGGGATGTCGTGAACTTGCCCAAGTTCAAGTTCGACCAAGTACGAATTTTTCAAACTTTCCACTTAATGTCCGACAAAAGTTTGAAGTTCAACTTTTGTGCGCATGCGCAGAAATTTAAAAAAAAAACACAGTGGACTCCACCTGGTGGAGGCTAAGTGCAGTATTTGTTGCGTGTATTGGCATCACTGGTTCACATAACTAACGAAAGCATTAAAAGCACATATTTTCGCTTTTATATGGTGTAAACATTGCTAACCATTTTATAAAATATTAAACAAGCTACTTTCTAAATTATTTGTTTCCCAAAATTCGAAATATTTGTGTAGAAGTGGGGCAACACTTTCCACAAGTCAAACTTCTTCGAACTCTAGTGAAAGTTTGCAGGTCCGTTAAAAGGTTGCGGCACCCCTAGTTATAGATAGGGTTCCGTGTTTTCGGAGTTTATTTTTTACTTGAATTTAGGGGCATCTTTTTTTCGGGGTTTAATTTTTCTCTCAGATTCAATGTTTCTGTGTAAATTTATATAAGTCAAAACCAATGTACACAAAAAGCACCGAATCTGTAGGAAAAAAAGTAACTCATAAAAAGAATACCCCCAAATTTAAAAAAAAAGGAATTCCAAGAACACGGAACTTTAGTTATAGATTGCCATAATTGAAGTATACTGACTGGCGACATGTCTAGGCTTGGCAGTGCTTGCATGTTGTGGTTAATGTTTTTATAAACTGATTTCACGCTTGTATGTAGGTTGATAAAAAGAGTATAGATCATGAGGAACACTGTATTTAAACATTGGTCTTCTCGAGGATGTTAGTATATTGAGTGCAAGCACAGATCCAGTTACAGGGCGCAAACCAATATCCCGCTTCACTGAGACAAGAAAAGTGCCGTTGGCATTCCCCCAGCTCTAAAAAAGCCAGAGTCAAGTTCATCTGCCAAGTGTGCAATGTCCCACACTGCATTGCATGTTTCAATCTGTTTTGCAAGAGTCCACGAGAAATTCCTTTACAAAACAGTTCAACTGTGCAGTGGGGCAAGTGCTGTCCCACGTTTAGAAAAGCTTCCAAGTGGTTTGTGCGACACAAACTGTCTCACTTGTTTTGATCTAAGTATTCCATGCATTGTGCCAATGTTGTTGTGTTCATGCGTCCACTATGGGGATATTTACTTAACGCCATATTCATGCACTCTTGCCAGTGCATGCTCAGAATGAGTCCACATCTATGGGGTGCGAAGACAAGCAATCTTGATAGTGTCGAATGCATGTCGCAAAAGGGCTGTGGAAGCTTACCTTTTAACAACTGAGCACTCTGCTATGGCCGGCAGTGAATACCCCCTATTGTGTGCACAGGCCACTGGCGACTTTATATGGTCACCAATTTTTACAGCGGAGCTGTTATAGGCTCTAGGGTCTGGGAAAAAATGTGTCCTCACATGTCGACAGATAACTCCCCATTGGTCGTGGCAAGTGTGAATAAATAAAAACGAAGAGGGGTCAAGTATGAATGAATAAAAAATAAAAAGAGGGGGCAACCAGCATGAGTCGGGCTTCCTTGCCATTTTTCGATACTGAGGTCCTGATCCCTTGTTATCATCTCTAGGCATCGTCCTTGAGGTCACCCTAGAAGTCGTCCTTGAGGTCGTCTTAAGCATCATTTTCGAGCTTCTAGAAGTCGTCCGAGACCTTGTTCTCTAGACGTTGTCCCCTAGGCATTGTCCTTGTGTAAAGACCACAGCTTGGCTTGTCCTCCATCTTCACGTGAAGTGGAAGGGCTCTAGAATTTTTTCTATTGCTCACATAAGGTTAAATATATGGTGCCATAACATATCCACAATTTTCTACCTAGTATATGTGGGGGGGAGAGCCTACTGTTAATGCTTCACTTGTCTTTTTTGGACATTCCCAGGTGGATTACTACAGCCAGAAGGGAGGCACCGACAAAAATGCCGACACGCGGGCCTTGCTGACCTGCCTGGTCCACAACGATGTGGATGGACGTTGCAGTTGGAAAGGGTCAAAAGGGCGCAAGGAGCCCTTTGATGAACTGAAAAATATAATGACCCTGTTGCTCGGTAGGTTCCACTATTGGTTATTTCTTATCCAAATGACAGGTTCAGAAAACATCTACAGTCGAATCTCGTTAATTCAACCTCTCTTAATTTAAACTTGTGAATAATTCAAACTAACATGCAGGTCCCATCCTGTGCATCTCTATGGGTGGAAGCTCCTGGTAGTTCAGTGAATAGATGCAATATCTCCAATCTTCTTGAAAATGGTCAAATAGAGTGATGATGTTCAGTTAATTTCATAAATATTCCATGACTCTTAGCTTGGGGGGTGGGATTATTTATGCCCATATATCTTAAAGGGACAACGATTTTAAACTTTTCTAGATAGTGTGTTTCGGATGCCTTGACATCATGGCATGCTGTTAAGTTTGGTATAAAATTTTGTAACTGATCTTCGTGCCTGCGAATAAATTGACTATACCGAAACTAACCGTCCGAGTGATGTCATGTGGGAGTAGTCCTGCTCACATGTCACATTCCTACATCAAACAAAGCAAGGAGCTCGCACAAAACTTGTTAGTTCCGCACACCTGGGCCAGTGCTGGCTTCGCTCCAGGTATGATTTTTCTCAAAACTCAATGCATCGTTGCCACAATGCATTAAGGGAACTTTAGTCTTTCTGCTTGTGCGACAACGTTGCTAGAGCTCTGCACATGTAGAGCACCAGACAGCACGATCCCTCTCGTGCACTACAGTCTACCTCCTGTGAACTAAACTTGTGGCTGTGTCACAGGAGTTTATTAGGATTGGTCTATTCATTTGTGCGACATGCAGGTTTCGGTTCAGGATAAAACTTTGTCAACATTGCATGGGTCATGCTTGAGGCTTGTTTCAATCGTCAAATGGAGTTTCCAAATCGTCTTCATTGTCCAGTCTTGTTAGCGTTTCTTCAATGTTTGTACATTTTTAAAATTATCTACTAGTTTGTTCTTTACTTTTGTTGCAGAGCTAGTGTTCTTGCACGTCTGCAACTGGAATTAATTGAATATCTTGTTCTGTGATTTCATTATAATAAGTTTTGCAGATAAATTTATTTTACCAAAAAAGAAAAAAATTCTGTCTTAAGAGTTTTTGATGAAAGCTTTCAATTCTAGTTCCGGAGACGTACGAGCACTATATATCTCTCTGCCTACAAAAGTTAACAGCTCTGCAACCAGTAAATGTTTTTAAAAGGGTACGAATGAGAAGTTAACAAAAAGAAATATCAATGCACAACGGAAAAAAGTTTTAGTTAATTAACTTTTCTTGTGAAACCAAGATATATCCTAATAATGTTTAAACACTCGGCTAGTTGGTAGGTGCTATATATAACTAAATAAAACCGCAGAAGAAGATATAAAAGACACACAGGATAGAACATGTCCATCTGGTGCTTCTCTTTTTATACCTTTTACGCTGTTTTATTTCATTATGTACAGTCGAACCCGATCATGTCGAACTTGCATAAATCCGTCTACGAGTTTGATATAGCGGGTAATTGTATATAAAAGTTTTAATATACCTGACAAGGAACAAGCACGCCCCATTTAGAAAAGTAGGTTACTCTCGAAGAAGCATCTGTACGTTATGAGGGGTTGAGTGTACATAATGACACGCACCCTCCGCAAAAGAGATTTTTTTCCTTCCAAGGGGTCGACGCAGCCGCCCAAAAGAAAAAAAAAAGCCAGCTTTCTCTGCAAGCTGGCTTTCCCCCAACAAGATCACCCATATTGGGGGGAAGCCAGCTTGCAGAGCTAAACGGTGCTCTTGGCAGTTCAGTCTATCGGGAGACTGCAATTTTCATTCGATATAACTGCATTTTTCAATATGCATTTTTATTGCAGCTACTAGTCTGTTCACAAATTGTTCGATACAAGGGATAGTTTGAATTAACCAGGTTGGATATAATCGTGTTTGACTGTATGACCAAAATATATCCACTTCAGTCAAATGCTAGATCTTCTGTATGGAAAAGCTAATTTTAGAAGAGATCTTGATCCCTTGCAGTCTTCACTGATATAGGTTATGAATGAAACCTCCAAATTGGCAATTAATGATCCATCAACAGTTTTTTGAAGATGATAGAAATGTCTCTGCACGTCTAATCACTGCATTTTTATGTTGTTTTCTGGAAAAAAAAATTGGGGTTGCTGACCCCATTTTGAGCAAATGTTTAGATTTCTAGTGTACCACTAGGAACGGTCACATGAATATTACACATATTGTCGCCTTTTGACCTTTTTACTTGCAAAGTACATCCAACAAAGTGAAGCAACTTAGCCTGTTTTGGTATAACATGATTATGCATGGTATTGTCTGTCACTAAATGTATGTATAAATGGAGTGCTTTTTTTTCCCTTTTTTTTCTCAGCTGCTGGCAAGGCAAAGCATGCAGACTTAACCGAGGCGACAATTCAAGACGTGACGAAGAGGTGGCTCTGGTCGTTTGTCGTCCGGGATGGTGGGCGGAGCAAGAGGCGCCATGTGGAAAGTGAAAATGTTCAATAAACATCGTACCAGAAAATTCTCAGCTTTTTTGTGTTAACAAGAAAAACCAACTGCCAATTAGTGCATCTTTACATCTGGTTTCAAGTGGTTGACCAGAACTGATATATTTCCAGCTTCCGAAAAATCTGCAGGCAAAATGTCGGGCACAGGCTCATGTCCTGCAGTGCGTCCACAAGTTCATTGCAAGATTAATACCTAACTGCAAGTTGCTTGCCAATGTGTGGCCTCGGCTGTAGGGCGGGCACCCAATCGCAAAGGTACGGCCTATGCCTAGTAACAATGGATCGGCCTGTGTCTAGCTGCATGTCATCAGCCAGTGCCCGGTCAAACGTCTTCGGCTAGCACCTGACATCTAATGTACGGCTAATGCCCAGTTGCTTAACTCCGGCCTGCCTCTGATCACAGGACACCGGCCGATGCCCTGTTGCTAAACTTCGGCTTGCTTTTGGCCACACGGCATTGGCCAGTGCCCAGATGCTAACCTTCAGCCTGTGTCCTGACACAAGTCTTCGGCCGGCCTCCATTTGCTAAACTCCGGCCAGGTTTCAATCGCAGGTGATTGGCCAATGTCCTGCTGCACAACTTCGGCTTGCTTTCGGCTACATGGCATTGGCCAGTGCACGGATGCTAACCTTTGGCCTCTGTCCATACCAAAGTCTTTGGCCGGTCTTTATTTGCTAGCCTTCGGCTTGTGTCCTGCTACAGGTCATTGGCCAGCCTCCAACAGCCAGTCCCCTCAAGTCTTTGGCCAAGGCCCACAGCCATGTTCGGGCATAGTAGTTTGACCGGCCTTAGGCCGGATGAAATGTGCCTGGCCAAAATGCTTCAGCCATTGCCCGGCCGTTCACTTTGTGCTGCCTGGGTACTGACTTAATTGCAAGGCACCTCGCGCCATCAATATTTCTGTAAAATAAAATGTTTTTTTTTGCTTCAATGTTCTTTGACACGCGTGCCCCAACCAGACTTTAAAAATTTTTTTTCTCAGGTGTTTTTAAGAACTGATAATTACAAACTTGCCATTTAAGTTCACACCTATATTTCTACGTTGATTTGAAAACAAAAAAAGAATGTTTTAAGACTTACGGTATTTGCGGCACAGAAATATGTAGTCATAAATGTAGCCATATTACTTCCATATTATTTACAAGTTAAAAATCAAACCGCTAGCCTCACTCTTCAGCTAACCAGCGTCAAATGTACTACTAAATTAACAGTCCAATAAATACCCTGTTATACGAAAGAACATGACAGTTGAACAGAACATGACATTTGAATGAATCATGAATTTAAAATAAATCAGTCACATAACAAAAAAACTCGTTGAGTAAAGATAATTCCTGGCAAATACATTCACATATCACAGTGACGTAACTGACACTCCACTCGCACCCAACAAGCCGAGTCTTGGCAAATAAGGACTAACTCAACACTCTGTGGCATTCGGCTTTGGACCTACTGGGAGGACTTTACTACAGCACACATCTACCGCCAAGAAGACAGCCATATTTTAACAGCGAAAATGAAATAAACGTGACTTCGAACACAAAAATAAGCAATCATAGCGTCTCTCACGGACTATTAGAATAAAAAGCACTTACAAATAGCGCTGTACAGGGCCTTTCGCCGTGGATTACACGCTGGACTCGTCGGAGATTCCCTGTCAAGAGTTCGACACAATCCAAGCTCATCAGATCCTGACAAAAAGTACATTCACTGTAAAAACAAATTCCGTCAAATTAATAAAAATTGCCAGCTAATTTTTGATGCCGATACAATTAGTGTTGTCTTCCATCACGGTCACAGCATTAACTATCTATTACGTGCATGACAGTAATGAGGCCCCACGGTTTTCCCCGTAACTTGACCTGGGTAGAAGCATGGCAGAAAACTGTAACTCTCAGTCACTGTACTGCACGTGATGCACGGATACGGGTATTGTTCCGGAATCAAAAATTAGCTGCCATGTTGTCTGTAACTTGCGACGGCAAAAAACCGCAACTCTCAATCACAGAGTTGCACGTGACGCACGACGACGGGAATCGTTTAAATTAGCTGGCGTGTTGTTCGCACCTTGAAGCAACGGCCAGAGCTTGTTAAACTGCTAGCTGCAGTGACTTAACAAAATGGACGTCTCAGTGAACAATAAATATAGCATTTTACTAATATAATTATTGTTCTCTGAGACGTCCGTTTTATTAGATCATTGCAGCTAGCAGTTCAACAGGCTCTAGCCGTTACTGCAAGGTATGGACAACACGGCAGCTAATTTTTAATGTCTGAATGATTCCCGTTGTCACGCATGACGTGCAGCTCAGTGATTGAGAGTTGCAGCTTTTTGCCGCCGCAAGTTACGGACAACACACCAACTAATTTTTGATTCGGGAACAATTCAAAGTAAATATCTAGCGACTATAAAATCTGATTAGGTTGTGGGCCCAAGTTACTTTCAGGAGTTAACGCCAGCTGCGCATCCCAGCGGTTAGCAGGTGCTTAAACACTGTTAGAAATTTGAAGCAAGTGCACACAAGATAAAGTATTAGGTAAAACATGTTCATACCTTTTTTCTCAAGAAATAATTAGTGGGCCATTTCCATCTTTCATGTACAAAGCAATCTCTGATTTTCAGAGCAGTAAAGTCCACATGAAGAACTACA